TTTAGTGCAATATGAAGCATGAGCTTGATTAATCTGAAATTCAATACCAATTACGGTAACATTAAAAACTCCACTGGATGTTTGGCAATACTGTAGAAAGCTGGCACAAGCAGCTGCAGAGTAAGAATGAAACTGCCTCGATAATATATTATGCGCGACACACTTGCTTTGCACTTACAGTGTTAGAGAAAAAAAAAAAACAAGACTCTGTAATAAAGCTTGAATTATAGTTTATATGTCATCTGTTGAACATTTGGAACCACTTGCATATATTTCATGAAAGTAATCTCCCATGTGCCACGGGGACACTTCGACAGATGGGTTCTCATTATCAATTAATGGAGAAAATAAGATTGCGAGGGTACAATGCAGCTTACGTAATAGCTATCGCCTTTTCATTTTATAAAAAGATCAAATTGTTGATCGATTCAAAGTGAGCCTGGAAGAAGGGGAGGGCAGGCGGGGGCTGCGTGTGACTTTTAATCTGCTACCTTGCACTGATTCCAGATTTTCTCTCTCCCTCTCTCTCACTGACAGGCCTTTCCCCCAGAGCGTTTCCCCAGAGCCTCGGCTCAAACTGCAGAACCGCTCGGTGTGGCAACTGTTGAACAAAATGGACTCTCGCAAGGAGGAGAGAAAAAAATCCCACAGGAAAGGGGGAGAGGGAGAAAATCGATGCAAGGGATTTTCAAATAGGTTGAACTGAAGGTTGGGGGGTTACTGAAAGAGAAGAGCTTAAAGGTGGGCGAGAAGATTGCCAAAGAAAGGAGTGAGGGATTGAGAAAGAGAAGATTGAGCTGTAATGAAAAGCATCTGAAATCAAGTAAACTGATCCTTAATCTAATCCAAAGGCAGCCACGTTTTCTGCATGTTTCAGACAGCATCGTATCCAGCAGCAGAGAGACAGCCACAGTAAAGTGCTGCTGTGTGGATGTTTGCAGCCGAAGCTGTGAGAGAGACAGAGCTTGCTAATGAGCACACTGGGAGTGTCTGCCTTGTTGTTTTGTTGAGTGTTATTTCGAAACATTGCAACCAAGAGACTCGGGCGGGAAGGCAACTCTAGCTGTCAAACAATCTTTCGATCTGGGTTAATTGTTCGGGGAGAGTGCCGTATTATTATGATTAGCACTGTTTTTCTTTTCTTTTTCCCCCCATAATGTTTCCTCAAATGTAACTGTTACTTAACTGAGTTTGAGCATTTTTATTTGTTTACACGGATTTTTCTCGAGCTGATCAAATCAGTGTCCTTTGTTTACTCCTTTACATCCTTTATCTCGCTCTCTCTCTACCTCTCAAGCATTGATAACACACTTAAAGCACACTTCACAAAGTACATCAGTTTAGGGGTTGGTTAAAATATCATCCAGTCAAAGAAGCAACTCAATTTAGACAGGCAGACATGGTCAAAGTCAAACTGAGCACCAGCCTGGGGAAGAAATTTGATTTATGTGGTTGTTGGTGCCAGACAGGCAGGACTGAGTATGTCAGAAACTGATTTTTCCACAGAGCCATCTCTAGTTTAAGAGAGAAAACATCCAGTGAGCAGCGGTTTTCTGGGTGAAAATGCCTTGTTGATGTCATGGAGAATGGCGAGACTGCCTCAAGCTGACTGGAAGGACAGAGTAATGCAAATAACCATTCATTACAATAGGCAGATGGGCTACAGCAGCAGAAGACAACACTAGATTCAACTCCTGTCAGCCGAGAACAGGAAACAGAGGCTACAATATACAGGGGCTCCCCTGTAAATTATAGCCTCAGTTGGACAACAGAAAATTGGAAAAACATTGTCTGGTGATGACACTGTAGTGTAACGGTGTGGGGGATATTTTCTTGGCACTCTTCTGGCCCCTTAGTACCAACATCATTTAAACACCACAGCATGCCTGATTATTGTTGCTGACCATCTATCCCTTTATTATCACAGTGTAGCTGTTTTCTGATGGCTTCTTTCAGCAGAATAACACAACAGGTCATAAAGCTCAAATGATCTCAAACTAGTTTCTTGAACACGATAATGAGTTCACTGTGCTCAAATGGCCTCCACAGTCACCAGATTCAAATCCATTAGAGCACCTTTGGGATCTGTGTCATAATCTGCAGGATGTGCAGACTGGAAGCTGAGTTGTACTCAAATGCGGACACGAGCAGGCGGGGTTTAACAGAAAGCAAACTCTTTATTCAACCGATGGCAAAAAATGAACAAAAGCAGCAAACGTCCAAAAGGGGAAAACAGAAAACTATAAACTGCTAAGAAATACACCGGAGTTACTAGGACTGAGAAAACACTAAGCACAAGACGAAACAGGAACTAAACAGATGCTGACAAAGGACAGAGAGACAGACAACACACACAGGAGGGTGATTAGGGGAAGTGGAGACAGCTGGGGAGAACGAGGCATTGACGAGCAGAATCATAACAGACGACACAAAGGAAGCAAAACTCAAGACGGCGCACATGAACAAGAGATCACCAAAATAAAACAGGAAGCACAAACACAGACAGAGACTAATACACATGAACTTGACATAAACAAAAGGTAAACAAACCGGGAGGCACGGCAGACTTCAGGGAGACACAAAAGGACGAAGCACAAAGAGATGACTAAGGTTACAGGAAGGGAACTAATGAAAAGCGATTTACAACTAACCTAGAGACATAAAATAATACAACAGGGAACTGTTGTAGTAATTATTTATAAAACTCAAAACAGTGTATGAAGTGACACGGGACAGGTTTGTAGCAGATTTTACTACTGAGGGAACGAGAGGGCGATTAACGCTCTGGGTTTGTCAAACTTGTCACTGGCAGTGTTTCAGTCACAGCAGTATTGGATGAGAGAGAGAGAAAAAAGAAGCATTGCTGTTGAGAGGCCAGTGAGAAAACGGACACATCCCAGTAAGCACACATTGTGATGTGTTATTTTACAACAAGAAAAATTACATTTACCAGGAAAAACTCCACTTTTCATAACTAAAGTAAGTAAAACAACAAAAGTAAAAGATTCATAATTACTTTATTCATTCTTGACTTTGTTATTTTGCAGATAATACAACCTCTTACCTGTACATATGCACAGATATAATATGCTGTATTTAAAACGTCAATCACCTCAATGTTTAAGAAATGTACTGTAAATGAAGCAAGAGAGCACAGGCAGGCTAGTGGTGGTGTTAGACTGACTGACTATGCACTGAAAGTTGATTTGGATCACAAACATGTCCATGTAAACAAATACAGGGCACAAGGTGGAAAACTGTAACCTGAGGACTTAAATTCAGATGAAAAGAACTGCGTTAAAGATGCGTCTTCTATTTTTCTTAGGAAGGATCTTGGTCAGGGGTGTGATCAGATAAATGTCAGTACAAATTAAAAATTAAAGAGCGGTTCATCGGCCTATCCCAGTGTTATTATCACAGCTGGGATAGGCTCGCAGTCCACCAACAGCCATGAATAGGATAAGTGGTAAAGACCAGAACCATAGTGATGCTCATTTGACTCACGAGCCATTACAATTCACAGGTTTTTGAACATATGTGATTTTGACCTTGAGCACAGTTTGCACAGATCAAGACCTATCAAGTAATTTCTGTATGCAAGTTTGATCAAATTCTGACCAACACGTAGGGGGAGCAGCGATTTTTGTGAATTATTGATGGGGGACGCCTTTCTGTGGCATAAGCTCATCGGTCCTTCTGCTGCATGTAATGAACTGACGACCTTTAAAAGTCTGCATTCTGCCACCTGAGCCGAAGTCAGTGTGGGTAGTTTACCATATCGCTTCATAACTGAAGCAAAACTATGTGAATGAATATAAGAAACACTTAAAAAGCACAGAAATGTCCTTAACAGTGGAATACTACATTTTCTGTTTTTCTGTTTTGTGTTGATTAATGATACAAAAACATCATTACTGGCTACACACATGGATTTGTAAGGGCATATCAGCTCTAATGTTATTTAGGTAGAAGAAAAAACATCAGGTAAACAATTTTTTTAAAAGAAAAAATGAAACCTGTCATTAGTGTTCCCCTGTGATTGGTTGTGGGTTAGAAGTGCAAGCTACGCCTTGTGGTCATGGTACCCTTGGTTGTATTACTAATGCAACCCTGACTGGCTAATGTAAGCAAGGAAATAATGTTTTTAAGAAGAGCAGCATGCAGGAAACATAAATCCCACTCCAACTGCCAGTTTTCACATCATAACCTAATAACCAAATGGAAAACAAATCCAGACAGGGCAGGTCAAATGTATTCACAGTCAGAGGATGAGCTCTACAGATTGTTGTTGAAATGACATGATAAATGATAATGATCCGAGCAGCTCTGATGATACAGATCTTGAATAGTTTAAAGCCCATATTGTTAAATTCACTCTGCACTGAGAAAGAACCTTACTTTGTCTAATTAGTAGCATATTTAAGACTTATTTTAAGACAAAACAGCAAGAACAATTTAAAATTGAGCCAAAGAAACCCCTTTCTGCTAACTGGAGCAGTTATCTTAGCTGTGTAGCTTTATTAGTGCGCAAATTGATATAAAATCTGTTGCACACAATCATTCCAGCCATCAAATTCAGCAGCTTACCTCTACAAATGAGACGCTGATTTTTCTCTTCTCCTGTCTGGGCTCCTTATGTTGGAAAATTTAGAGCTTGGTCAGTGAACCCCAAGCAACCCAAAATCCTTGCAACCTCCACTTGCAAGCTGGTTGAGGACTTTACATTTTCCTCTAGTGACTGGTGGTTGCCAGGGGATCTGACTGGATCTTACATCTGCACTGTTCTCCTGGTAAGTTGGAGATAGATTAGCTGCATGAGCTAAGAGGAGCAGGGCTTAGCAAGAAGTCAAGGAACATATTCCTAAACACAGAGATTGTTCCACACTTCCTTTATTCCACAGATACTCCGGAGGGTTGTGAATCACACTGACACACACGGTGAGGATATATTTACTGTGTGATGGCACAGTTTCAGGCGGTAGCCAAGAGAACACACTCACCAGGCCTGGGACTTTCTCCTGGGCACGCTCTGTCTTGTCCACTTGGAGTGAGGGGTCAGGTGGTAAATCAGTTGGCGACATATCTTGTTAGTAGACTTAAACGAGTCAGTCTCCTGCAACACACAAAAGGGGCGAATGAGGGACAGAAAAGCAAGCCACAAATCTATAAACAAACTGTTCCTCATGCATGAGCACACCTGAAACAGGGAACTAAGCAAACAATGTGATACTGGACAGCTTTTCCAGATGTTAGATATACTAAAAGTCAGTAATTAGCATATATTTTCTTCCTTTATTACTGCTGAAAAAAAAATACTTGTGAAACTACCAAATTTTACATGTTTACAAAGTATTTCTTTGTCTTGCTTTAAACATTTTCCACATGACTCAGTAATTCAGCTTCTCTTTTGCGTTCCTGTTCCTTCCTGATTCTCCGGCACCTCTTTACATTCTTTTTCTTCGCTCTCCCTCCTCCGTCAAACACTGGAACGGGTTGCGCTGGGCAGGCTAAATCTAATTAATGGTACAACACGACAACTAGAAAGAGGCAATGCGGCGAGAGAGGAAAAAAGACAGGGCCAATTTACCTTAAGGCGATTAACCGTTCCCCCTGCCTCTTCTTTTCTTGGGTGACAAACAAACATGTCACGCGCTTCAAAACATTCAGTGCTTCTCTTTCAGCCACTTGGATAAATGAGCACGATGTTAAGCAGCGCATGCTGATTTACAGAGCAAAAGTGTTCTTAGAAAAATACGTGCTCCAGAGTTACTGACAGAGTGCAGTACTGTAACTCTATAAGCAATGCTAAGCATTAATAACGGGTCTGCATTAAAACAAGACACTGGCATATGATGTATGTTTTAACCCACGGTATGCCCTTGAATGCTCAGCCTAAATAAATCTAAGGTGGAAAATACTGGCCACAGAAGCACCTGCGGGGCCCTATATCCACCACATTGCCTCTATACACCCTTGTCACGTTTAACACAGTATCCTGCCACGGGTCGCCAGCCAGTCAGGAGAACATTGCTGCCAGCTTCTCACTTTTCTTCCCTACCTCCAGGGCTTTCCTCGCTGAAGTAAACAAAGATAAGATTAGAGTTTCTTCCAGGTGATTATCATCTGAACTCAGTAAGTAATAACTACACCACAAGGACGTTTTTTTCCCCTGTGGCAGCCATTCTTTCATAACTGTATCCGTAATAGCTTCTGGGTTCATGTTTTACAGCCACTCTGAGTAGATTCTGTAATGTCTTCAGCCTCTTACCTTAGATTGAAATGTACTTTGAATTTCAACGTGTCTGATTTGTATGCTGTGCTGCAAGTAAACGAGCCGACTGCCAGTTTGGACAAAGAAAAAAAAAAAGTGGCTTTGATTTTTGGGCAGAATTCAAATTTCGTGCTGGAAAATCTCTCTTTGCTCTTTCCTAGATTTCCCAGTTCCAAGAGGAAAGCATTACCTTCCCCAGTTTGATTTCTGGCTATTTATCAAAGCCCTCAAACTTCCCTCACTGTTAGTGCCAGGGTAATGAGCCCCCTAAAGCCAGGCAGCTAGAGGTTAAGAGCTCTGTTGACCTCTAGCTGCCTGGCACCTGACCGTGCTTTCCAGTATAACCCAACCAGAGCAGGTAATTTAATACACCTGGTGCATAGCTGCTTCCCACTTGCAACTGGGCTAACCGAGCGCAGAGTAACAATGAAGAGTCATACCCTGGTTCTGTTTGGCCCTGATATTCATCCCTAACCTCTCATGCTAATGAGTCAGCGCTTACAATATTTTCCATTCTTCCTGTCTTCTGCATTTGTGGCTGCACAAAGCAAACCGATGGTTCATTGTTATTGCAATAGCATGACAATGAATATGACACAAGCATCTAAGCGTGGCTAATGAAGGCGTGCGTGTAGCCTCTGTGTGAAATGTACTGCTTGTCCTTTTTACTGGTGTCAAGTCTGTAAACAAACAGCTGCTTTGAATGTTCACTATGAATAAAACTGTTTTATTCATACCCTTTTTGGACACTGCAGGTCCCGGGCAAGGCTGAGCAGCAACTCGTGGGAAATGGGGTCCACCAGGTTTAGAAACGCTGCATTTTTGTACAAAATGTCATTGAGTGACGTTCCCTGAAGTCCCAAATCCTAAAGGAGAGAAAAGAAAAAGGATGTGAGTGATTCAATTTACTCTTTCTAACCCATGGATTAGAATTTCAAAAACAGAATTGGATTAAACTGAACCACACTTTAAATATTAAACTGAGATTTCATAGCTAGTTAACTGAAAATAGACTTTCAGTATTGTCAGCTATGTTCATTATTCCCTTTCATCACGGCTCCTTAACACAAGGTCAGCTGATGAGTGTTTCCCATCATAGCTGTGTTTCTCCACCCAACGTAGCGGATTAGGGTGTGCTGGGCAGTATACAGAATATACAGTTGTAGTTAACATCCACTCATCATTGCCAAATGTCTTTGTAATTGTGAGCATTTAATGAGCTCTCTGAACCGTTCTTTTCCCACTGTAATATAATTATACAGCATACATCTTTGATGACTTTAAAAAACAAGAGAAAAAAAGAAGATAAAAAGAAGAAAAACAAGACCTAATATTTTCAAGTTGGTGATCATGATCGACTGCAATTTGTAGTTTCTCTTTGCGTTCAAAAAGTTTGTTTGACATGATTCAATTGATTTATCAATACTGAACAATTATAAAAGAGGAGTAAAACTGAGGCTTTCAAACGAAAGAACTATACCAGCTGTTGGAGGTTGGTAAAATTTGTGGACTAAACTATAATGAACAATTTTTCCTTTCAAATGGTCTGTATTTGGTTTTACTTACTTGGGAATCAAAACATTGCCAAACCTAAAGGACCTGTGGAAACCTAATTTTCTTCCAGTTTATTCCTCAATAAAAAGAAAAGACATTGACCTTGGCATGACGTACCACTTTCTCTCTGATAGGCCACATTAGTTTCATTAAAATGAATATCCTCCCTCATATTTTATAAACTTTGTAGATGCTTCCTCTGTAATTGCCCAGAAGAATATTCAGGATATACAAAAGGCCTTCTCTAAATGAATCTGTCATGGCAAAAAACCTAGACAGAGGCTTATACCTTTACAGTTACATACAGACATGGGTGGCCTTTCCATGCCTAAATTACTGTTCTACAACCAGACTTGCCATGCTCACATCTTTGGTCTTGGCTAATGCAAATCTTAAATTGGAATCATGTATTGCTTGTTGGAGTTCTCCACGCTTCCTATGGAGTCTGGTCACGTTATGTCAGTAATATAAGGCCAGTGGTAAAGCACCATCTTATTTTATATAACAGTATTAAATCCTTGCTGTCCCTTATTGTCCAAAATGCTGACTTTCCTGCTGGCACTGGCTCATCTGCTTTCTCCTTATTGTGGGACGGGGGATTCGTGCACTTGGAGACCTGTTTGGAGATAATGTGTCCAAAGGAACAATTCTTTGGATATTTGAAAGTTAGGCACTTTTTATCTTCTAATCTCACCTCTACTTCTATTAACCTACCTACCTACAGGGTTCAGTTACCTACCTATAGCATCATAGAGCGGTTTGTCTTAGAGCCTTAATCTGGGAAGTCTTTTATTTCGCTATTCTACTCCCTTCTCTGTTCCTCTGATGAATATGAGCTGCCTAATATTGCTCATAAGTGGGAAAAGGATTCAGGCACAGAATATATAGAGGATGACTGGCAGGGAGCATTATAAAATCTGCCCTCATATGCAATAGACAGAGCGACTCAGTATAAGATTCTTCACAGATTGCATATCACCCCTGTTGTTTTGTACAAGATCAACTGCTCTCTCCCTTCTCTGTTCTCTTCTGATTGGGGAACATATTTTCATTGCTTCTGGGAGTAAATAAATTTCCAGCTTGTGGTCATTTATATCTACGGAACATAGTAGAATATTTAAAATGAAAATTTAAAATGATCCTGGTGTTTTCCTCTTAGGCCTATCCTTTAGAGAGTTGCATCTAGCAGTAGCTAGCAGTCATAGCTCAAGAATTGGGAGTTCGCTTTGTAATCGGAAGATTGCCGGTTTGAGCCCCGGCTTGGACAGTCTCGGTCGTTGTGTCCTTGGGCAAGACACTTCACCCGTTGCCTACTGGTGGTGGTCAGAGGGCCCGGTGGCGCCAGTGTCTGGCAGCCTCGCCTCTGTCAGTGCGCCCCAGGGTGGCTGTGGCTACAATGTAGCTTCCATCACCAGTGTGTGAATGGGTGGATGACTGGATGTGTAAAGGGCTTTGGGGTCCTTAGGGACTAGTAAAGCCCTATACAAATACAGGCCATTTACCATTTACACTACAGACTTCTGGAGAAGCTTCTTTTAATTGCCAAAAAGTGTATTTTACACAACTGGATCAAAGCTTGTTTGCCAAGTGTTACCATTTGGTACCAGGAAATCTAATACTCTCCACATGAAAGACTACAAAACAGAAATGACTCATTATTTTTTAGGGTCTGGTCACTCTTTCAAGACTTTCTACCTTCTGGCCTGAAAACCCCAAAAAGTCAAACACTTATCCAGTGTCACAAAATGTATTTCTGTCCACGGTTTCATTACTTCTTTGCCAACATCTTGTGTTAATGATGGAAGAATCTGACCACTCATGCTCCCTGAACCACTCTTGCACATTTTGAACTCAGGGAATCTTGGACTATGACTCTGCCATCAGGGGAGAAAATATCACCTGATGGACAAACCTGGTCATTCAGTATGTTTAGGTAGTCAGCCAAACTCAGTTTTGGGCACATAATGTTGCTGAAGCTAAATCTTCAATCTAGACACTGGCAAGCAGATCGTTATTGGTTAGTGCCTCTGCTGATTGGGCTTTTTTCAATCCATCCTGCAGATGCTCATTTGGACTGAGCGCTAGACAGTTTGCAGGGTAGATCAGTGCCTCATTGTCATGTTGCTCAAGCTGTTCGTGAGCAGATTTTGTGGAGTGGTGCTACGGGTGGGGAGCACCATTGTTATATTATAGCAACACAGTGGTGGAGAAAATGAAACTTCTGTTGCCTCGTATCTGCTTTGCAAATGTTAAAAAAGCTTGATCTACAGAGACATGCACACAAGCATAAAGCATCACAATCTTTTACTAATTGAAGTTGATCTACTCAGACATATTAAGAGATTACTGGCATTTTTATAGCATGAAAAGAATAGAAAAACATGTTCCTCTGGCCCATCCTCTTACAGTTTACAGTGATGGCAGATTTACATAAGGACACAACAAGAGATTATGGACCTTAAAAATTTGTTCAGCTTTGTAAACATACATATAACAATGTACAATTGTCCTCATTCAGGCTTTCAGTACAGCCCACCGGGATCCACAGTGCAACCTTTTTTTGTTTGCTGAGAAACCTGTCAGACTGCTAACTTTAACTGTTTCTGCCTGCACAAGTACATGCAAGAGTCTTCACTCCCCCCAGGCATCTGAGAAATGAAGATCTAGTAGTAATGCCACCACATCCGACAACATTGTGCGTAATGTAGCAATTTCTGCCAGAGTTTCATGTGGGTTTTTAATCAAAACACGCACAGGTAAACTCCAGGGTTCAGTTAACATGTGAGAGGACTATAGCTATACTTGTGCAACCTGCAAGAACACAAGTTTATTTTGCCTGGTTCTCAGGCCAGGGTTATTTCATTAAACAAAGGTAAAGCTACAGACACCGAAAAAGAACTTTTGCAACATGGATAAAACTTGTAGCATGTTCAGTCACAACTAAGAGGATGGCTTTTGTTGCTGGTTTGAGATGTCTCCCTGAAACTGTAGGAAATGGTGTGAGGCTGTGAACTGCATCTCCTCTCAACTGTTTGATGCATCAGACGTCACATGTATAATAATCCCCCC